TCAGGAGCCGTGTAACACTCAGGCAGCCAATAAGACGCCTTTGACATTCAGCCAGCCAATCAGGAGACGTTTAACACTCAGCCAGCCAATCAGGAGGCGTGTAACACTCAGCCAGCCAATCAGGAGGCGTGTAACACTCAGCCAGCCAATCAGGAGGCGTGTCACACTCAGGAAGCAAATAAGGAGGCATGTCACACTCAGCCAGCCAATCAGGAGGCGTGTAACACTCAGACAGCCAATCAGGGGGCATGTAACACTCAGCCAGCCTTTCAGGAGGCGTGTAACACTCAGCCAGCCAATCAGGAGGCGTGTAACACTCAGACAGCCAATCAGGGGGCATGTAACACTCAGCCAGCCTTTCAGGAGGCGTGTAACACTCAGTCAGCCAATCAGGAGGCCTGTAACACTCAGCCAGCCAATAAGGAGGCGTGTCACACTCAGCCAGCAAATAAGGAGGCGTGTAACACTCAGGCAGCCAATCAGGAGGCCTTTGACATTCAGCCAGCAAATCAGGAGACGTTTAACACTCAGCCAGCCAATCAGGAGGCCTGTAACACTCAGCCAGCCAATAAGGAGGCGTGTCACACTCAGGCAGCCAATAAGGTGGCGTGTCACATTCAGGCAGCCAATAGGGAGGCGTGTCACATTCAGGCAGTGATCAGGAGACGTTTAACACTCAGCCAGCCAATCAGGAGGCCTGTAACACTCAGCCAGCCAATAAGGAGGCGTGTCACACTCAGCCAGCCAATAAAGAGGCGTGTAACACTCAGCCAGCCAATCAGGAGGCCTGTAACACTCTGCCAGCCAATCAGGAGGTGTGTAACACTCGGAAAGCCAATCAGGGGGCGTTTAACACTCAGCCAACCAATCAGGGGGGTGTTAAACTCAGCCAGCCAATCAGGAGGCCTCTAAAACCCAGCCAGCCAATGAGGAGTCCTGTAACACTCTGCCAGCCAATAAGGAGGCTGTCACACTCAGCCAGCCAATCAGGAGGTGTGTAACACTCAGGCAGCCAATCATGAGGCCTTTGACATTCAGCCAGCCAATCAGGAGACGTTTAACACTCAGCCAGCCAATCAGGAGGCGTGTAACACTCAGCTACCAATCAGGAGGCGTGTAACACTCAGCAAGCCAATCAGGAGGTGTGTAACACTCGGAAAGCCAATCAGGGGGCGTTTAACACTCAGACAGCCAATCAGGAGGTGTGTAACACTCAGCAAGCCAATCAGGAGGCGTGTAACACTCAGCCAGCCAATCAGGAGGCCTGTAACACTCTGCCAGCCAATAAGGAGGCGTGTCACACTCAGCCAGCCAATCAGGAGGCGTGTAACACTTAGGCAGCCAATCAGGAGGCTTGTAACACACAGCCAGCCAATCAGAAGGCGTTTAACACTCAGGCAGCCAATCAGGAGGCCTTTGACATTCAGCCAGCCAATCAGGAGACGTTTAACACTCAGCCAGCCAATCAGGAGGCATGTAACACTCAGCGAGCCAATAAGGAGGCCTATCACACTCAGAAAGCCAATCAGGGGGCGTGTAACACTCAGCCAGCCAATCAGAAGGCGTGTAACACTCAGCCAGCCAATCAGGAGGCATGTAACACTCAACCAGCAAATCAGGTGGCGCGTAACACTCAGCAAGCCAATCAGGAAGCGTGTAACACTCAGGCAGCCAATCAGGAGGTTTTTGACACTTAGCCAACCAATCAGAAGGCGTGTAACACTCAGCCAGCCAATAAAACTCCTCACAAAATGAAAGTTCTTTGTAGTTACTTAAATATATGCACGCTGTTATTTATGTTGTATTTTCATGAATAAAAAAGTTTCAAAAGTATGCCGCCTTCCTGTTTTTTCACAAATTGCACACTGTATATAACTATGATTGATCGTACAGAAGAAATAATCACCATCTTATGTAGTTTATACATCGTTTTTACATGTTAATTAATGTACTTACCAGAAAGTCGACGAAAGATTGCAGGGGCACACCATGCAGACGGGCATATGACAGGTGGACGGAAAACGTGTTGGGAAAAACTTAATTTTTTTTTTAAAACTGTGTTGACTAAATTTTATTAAACAATTTTGAATATTCCCAAAACTTTTCTTATTATTTAGATGTAATGTAACTCTCTTGTTTTTATTACTAAAAATGAATTTATTTAGTATTTTCAACATAAATACATTACTTAAGGTGTACTACATTAATTTTCCTTTCTTTGACTGTGAGAAGCTCATTTGGCACACTTAGGTGGAAAAACACCAAAATCCCACAGAGTTTAATGTGAAAAAGAAAAAAGCCAGAATAACATGGGAAACATAAATAACTCACTTTTTATAGTTTTGTCCATTACAGCTAAACTAAGTGAGAAAGCCGCACCAAAAAACTCTATAAAGTACAATTCACCACTGTGAAGCTTCCTGAGGTGGAAACTGGCATGTACATGTGAAAAGCGTAATTGCAGTTGGAACCCAGAAAACCGCTTTATAATGTACAAGTCACCGCTGTGAAGCTTCCTCTTTTAATAGTTTTGTCCATTACACCTAAACTAAGTCAGAGAGCCATACCGAAACACTTTATCCATCACTTTACGTATACCCCTGTGAAGCTTTGCAATTCCAGAATGAATTATTCTGTATTCAAGTTTGCCCTCTTTTGTCGAAAACGGAGAACTGCAGTTGGCGAACCCTTCAGGTCACTGCTGTGAAGCTTCCTGAGGTGGAAACTGGCAGATAGGTGCTTCTGGAAGAGAATGGCAGCTTGTGTGAAAATGCTTCTTTTCTCAGTCTGATAAGCTCATTCGGCACACTTAGGTGGAAAAACACCAAAGTCCCAGAGAATTGCATGTGAAACACAAAAAAGTCACTTTTAATAGTTTTGTCCATTACAGCTGAACTATGTGAGAGAGCCACACCAAACCACTTCATGCATCAATTTCATTATGCCACTGTGAAGCTTTGCAAGTCCAGAATGAATTATTCTGTGGTCAAGTCTGCCCTCTTTTGTCGAAAAAGTGTAACTTCAGTTGAAAAACAGAAAACCACTCTATAATGTACAAGTCACCGCTGTGAGGCTTCCTGAGGTGGAAACTGGCAGATAGGTGCTTCTGGAAGAGAATGGCAGCTTGTGTGAAAAAGCTTGTTTTCTCAGCCTGGCACACTTAGGTGGAAAAACACCAAAGTCCCATAGAATTGTATGTGAAACAGGAAAAGGCCAGAATTACATGGGAAACGCAAAAAAGTCACTTTTAATAGTTTTGTGTATTACAGCCAAACTAAGTGAGAGAGCCACACCAAACCACTCTATAATGTACAAGTCACCGTTGTGAAGCTTCCTGAGGTGGAAACTGGCAGATGGTGCTTCTGGAAGAGAATGGCAGCTTGTGTGAAAATGCTTCTTTTCTCAGCCTGAGAAGCTCATTAGGCACACTAAGATGGAAAAACATTAGAATGCCACAGAATTGCATGTGAAACGGGAAAAAGCCAGAATTACATGGGAAACGCAAAAAAGTCACTTTTAATAGTTTTGTCCATTACAGTTAAATTAAGTGAGAGAGTCAGACCAAAACATTTCATCCATCACTTTACGTATACCCCTGTGAAGCTTTGCAATTCCAGAATGAATTATTCTGTGGTCAAGTCCGCCCTCTTTTGCCGAAAAAGCATAACTGCAGTTGGAATACGGAAAACCACTCGACAATGTACAAGTCACCGCTGTGAAGCTTCCTGAGTCGGAAACTGGCAGATA